GCGCGTGAGTGTCAACAAAAGCACGTGGAGAGTGTTTGCGTTTGTTTTAGCCAGTTGCACCAGGGACCATTTGCAAGTGCACTTAATGCACAGAGCAAACAGGTTCTCCTTTTGAATTCACAGCTGTCAACAGGTTGCTTTCTTGTATCCGTGTCATGGAGGGCCAGATCTCTCAGGACCTAAAAGCCTCAAGCAGCAAACAATCACTCAGGAATATTCAGTAAAAATGCAGATTTTCGTGGGAGAATTGCTGTAACATTTTACAATAGTGTCCATTTGACACACATTACATGTTCAAATAATAAAAAATGGTGTCAGAAACTGCTAGTAAATTCACAAAAAATTACAAAGAAACGGCAAGTAGCCTAACAAATTGAATCAAACGCTAAAATGTAGAAAAACTGTAAAACATACTCCAGTAATCGGTCTTTTATTTGTATAACTTCGAAAAAAAAATTTTTTTTTTTTTTTTTTACAATGTATAGTAAGTAACAATAACATCAATAACGGTTTTTTTAAATATAGGCTAATTCAAATAGAACTGTATTATTCAATAGCTGCTTATGTAAAACACTAACGTACTTTAAAACGTGACCTGCATATTCACACTTTTGAGAGATAAAAGAGAGAAACACTATAAAACACACACACACACACACACAAAATTCTGAGTGAGCTCAAGCCCAGTGGTGAGATATAAGCAGTGCATCTCACAGAAACAGACTGAAGCAATCCAGCACCATATAAAGCAATATTGAGTGAGTTTGAGAGGGGGCGCTCAGCATTTGCATGCGCGGACTGATTAGTTGGTTCAAAAGTGGCCTGTTTTCTGTTCTGTGATGGCAGAGGTGTCAGTGCTTCTCTAATGGGCCGGTAAAGCGCTGCAAGCGGGAACAGACAGACTAAATACATCAGTACTATCACCAATCAGCATAGGTGTGTTCAGCTCTGTCTCCCTCTCTCTCACTGCGTGAGCCTTCACTTTCTCACTCTCTCTCTCACTAAAAATAAACATCAATATATTGCCCGAATGCAGTTAACTAAATAAAATGATTTAGTAATTCACAAAATTTTATTGACTTAAAATTCTTTAAACCATAACAGCGGACTCGTTTATTTTAGCATCCAGCATATATTCACCAGGCCTGCTTATTCTACTAAATGTACTTAGTTTTTCTATGGCATTGGGACGCTCAAGTCCTCATAAACATTGACTAAATATATGTAGCTCCAAATAACAAAAGATTTCCCCATCGATGGCAGTATAAGATGATTAGGGCATGTTAATGTCAGATCCTTCAAAACTTCCCACTGCGCTTTTGTACACATCCAGATGCATGTCTGCATGTGAATGATGTTTATGGAGAACACTGTTTCCTGAATACGGATATTTAATTAAAGCAATTGTAGTTAAGGATTACACAAACGAAAGAAATGCAGATGAGATCCTAGTTAACCTCATAAACAACAACAACAGTCTCCTATACGACGTTAGATAAATCATTAACGGGAACACGCAGAGTCTCAATGCACGTACAGCGAGTGCGTATTAAAAGAGCGCAAAACAATTAACATTTTACTGTGATTAAGAGTGATTAAGAGATTTAATCGGTACATTAGGTTTTAAAGGTGTTTTGAATTGCGGGTTGTTTCTATTTCACGAAACTTTTTTATTTGTTTTTATGAGTCTTGTTATATTCATTTTATTTTTATTTTATTTTTTTATAGATACGACAATATCAACATTGATGAAGGCATACGACATATGTATTTAAAAATAAATTAATTTTAAAATCAGAAAATTATGCAAAAATATTTAAATTGAATATGTAAGTAGTAAAAAGTTTCTTTGTAAGTTAAGAAAATGTAAGAGTTAATGTAAGAGATTAATGTAAGTAAAATTTGGAGAAAAAATTCAACAAAATGTTGCAGGAAAAAACAACAACTATAGAACACTTAATTTAAGTGTAAAATAATGCTTATTAAAATTATTTAAATGTACTGATAAGTTAAAGTTGATAAAACTTAGTTTTACATGTTAAATGAACATTTTATCAGGAACTAGTTCTTCAGTCTTGGGAAGAGAGCGAATGGAAACGGACACACCGGTTTTGTTATTTCAGCGTCGGGAGAGAAAATGAAACGAAAGACTTTCCTTCCCTGGGCCCCTTTTTAGCAATGTCACTGAATAGATCCTTTATTGCAATTGTTTTTTTTCCAATTGAGCACCCTACTGGGCTGTTGCATCCTTTTACAACCCCTAACAACCCACACCCGTTATACACAAACACCTCTAGATATTTATAACGCGAAATTACTTTTCTATTTCCCCAAACAGCACAAACAGAAACACGCATTGGGGTTCGGGCACCGGGGTCATGTCCGTCAGGAAAGTGACAGTGGATGTTGTGTGTGTGTGTGTGTGTGTGGATGGTCGTCTGGGGGGCAGGGTGCCCTCGGCTCTTTGTATTCGGGCAAGTATTGGTGCGTTTGGTGGGAGGTTGTGTTGCTAGTTGCAGAGGCCGAGTTGTGCTGGCTGGGTTTGGGTATAGAAGGTAAAAGAGGCGCATTGTTGAGCTCCAGCAGGCTTTGTTAGGATCCTCTCACCCCCTCCACTTTTCAGAGCACTGATGCGAAGTAGACAGCGTGTGTCACTGTACACTTTTGACGGGAAGATCTAAAGAGGAACATATTTTTTTACAGACCACCAAGAAATTGAGACGCTAAAACTATTCTATTCTCTATTCTATACTTTTATATTTAATAGCGCAGGTTAAGTTTTTCTATTTTATGTGCCAAAAATAAACAAATGACAGGTGCAAAAGACTGCGTAGCCTATAAAGTACCTATATTAAAAATAAATAAATAAATAAATAAAATAGGCTTTGTATGCATTTAAAATAGGACTGAATACAAGTCATTCTAATATTACTCTTTTGCTCTATCCTAGGAATGATCTAAAATACTGAATAATAAAATATATAGAAAGATACAGTGAGGAATGTGGCAGGATATTTTAAAATATATGTAATTAAATGTAAAAATACATATCACATTTAAATGCATGCACCAAATTTTTTTGTTTTAAATCTCCAATTTGGCCTGGATATTTAGCATTGATGTTTGAAATTCACAACATATGTTTCCCTATTAGTAGGGGAGCAATAAAATACAAGTCTCATTATGACTGCCACCAGGCCAGATCTACAGTCTTACACCATGGGGAATTATATGATTATTAAGACTTAACCTTTGAACTGTGAAATGACAGGCCGGGTCATGTTTCTCTGTGATGGTGACATCAATCAAATGGATTCATTTGATAAACATGCACGCCTTCTTATACGTTCAAGAGTCTATTAAATCCAACTAATCCAGGAGTTACTGAAGAGCGAGAGGATGACAGTGGATTATTCCACCGGATTTGGACCGATTACCACACGTTTGTTGTGCAGTATCAGTGCTTAAATAAATCAGGTTCATTCAAATTAGTCCAGTTGGATGTGGTACTTAAAATTTAGGGTTTTAACTGAATAGGTTTTATTCATGACATGCCTGAAAAACCAATGAGTTTCAAAGGCTCAGAGCTGCACATTTTCTCTTTTTTCCCCCCCACTTTAAATGGAAGATATTTCAAATTTAGAGGCTCTTTTCAATGGTGCATTTCCCACAACAGGACTGTAGCAGATGTGGGGTTTGTTACAAACAAAAAAAAAAGCTTTGTCAGTTTTAATATGTTTAGAATCATGCACGCCTCTGTCCTCTTGCCCGTGCATTGCCCCTATAGCTAGAAATAAAACGAAGCCTCCCTTGAAGGCAACAAGAGCAGGATCCAAGTTGGTCTGATATCCAAATGCAGACAGAAAGGGTTGTTTTATCATGCTACTATTTGTCGTGACGATGCGTTTTTCAAAAGCAGAGCAGTGTCATATAAAGTGACAGTCCTGCCACAAGTACTTCAGCTGATCTTTTCAATGAGCCTTCCATGCATGATCCGAGACGACCTCCGCCTATTTCCAGAAATTAAGCTCAAACTTGACGTGCAGCTAGCTTTATTCTAAAGACAAATGTCAGAGAGTCTCATCATATTTTCCCCCCTCTTCTTCTTCTATATTTGGAGCTTATTTATTGCTTAGGAGCTCGGGCTCCTGCAGTCAGACGAGAGAGGAGCAGAGAGCTAGAGCACACACACACTCCGGGGAGGCTTTTCGTAGGGAGTTTTTTTTGCTCGCTTTGAATTGACTTTTCACTGGACTTTCACATCGCATCAAAAATACACCGAACTTTTATGCGCTTTTCATATTCTTCTGAGCTTTGCGGGTCCTGCTTTGCTTTAATATGTAGTTATTTCACACATTGCTGTTATGATGGAAAGCATCACTGTCGTATGCTTGGACTCTTTCAGACTGGCTTGTACTTGAATGCCGACGGGTGCTTATTTATTAGGGATTTGATTGTCTGGTGTGAGCGAGAGTTTCCAAACACTGGTGCACGGTCTTGCGGAAAGCTGTTCTCTTGAGGACAGTTTGATTATGAAATTTCAGTTCACGTGAATGGAGATGTTCATTTCATCAGTCGGTTGTGTGCGTCGATTGATTCCAGCCTAGCGCATGACATTCAAATGTTGATTTACAGGGCACAAAACGACTTGTGTAACAGCTTTCAAAACTGTTGGTTTAACAAATGCAAAACTTGGTTTGGATTATTAACGATGGTCAGATAAAGTTGATTATTAATTGAAAAAATAATGATACATTTTCCTTTGTTGGTCACACAAAATATATCACATGACTGAATCACCAGGGAATTTTTAAAGGTCAGATCAGATAGCTTAACAAATGCACATTTTTACTTTTTCCATTGTATTTTTAAGATATTTTAAATTTAGAGGCTCTTTATTATTCATTTAAAAAAATGCAAGTTTCCTTTGTTTGTCACACTTATTTGTGTAAGCAGCAAAATGTATTTAATGAGCAATTATTTAGTTGTTATTTCACTGTTGTTGATTTATTATATAACATGGACATTGTGATGTAAAAATACACTTTTTCAGTCTCATCTGACTCGGTTTGTCAGTAACGCTGATCAAAGAAAAGCTCCAAGAAGTGGAGCTTTATTCTGGACAATGGGACACCTATTGAGGGAATGTTTTCGAGTGGAAAGACGAGCCAATTTGTTATGTCTCCATGTGCCACAGGTCACAGTGGCGTCAACCAGCTCGGCGGGGTGTTTGTGAACGGCAGACCATTACCGGACTCCACCAGACAGAAGATCGTCGAACTCGCTCACAGCGGAGCGCGACCCTGCGACATCTCCAGGATTTTGCAGGTGACCGTGAAGCCCATTTGTACATCCACAAACTTCATAGGTGCTAGTGGAATAATAACACTTAGTTACAAGTCAAAATCACGGTCACTTTCAATCAAGTAGTGCAGCTAAATAAAATGGATCACACATTATGCATTCAAAGAATGTGCTATTCAGTTGTATTGCGCAGCAAACAAACAAACACTAACGTAAAGTGTGACCCGAAACGTAATGAAATCATCCTAGCAATTTTAAGGCATATTTTCTGTGTTCATAGACCCATGATGATGCAAAAGTCCAACTGGACAATAAGAACGTAAGCGTATAACCGTTTGAAGTACATTACATTATTTCAATTTAGTTATTGACTTTTCACTGGACTTTCACATCGCATCAAAAATACACCGAACTTTTATGCGCTTTTCATATTCTTCTGAGCTTTGCGGGTCCTGCTTTGCTTTAATATGTAGTTATTTCACACATTGCTGTTATGATGGAAAGCATCACTGTCGTATGCTTGGACTCTTTCAGACTGGCTTGTACTTGAATGCCGACGGGTGCTTATTTATTAGGGATTTGATTGTCTGGTGTGAACGAGAGTTTCCAAACACTGGTGCACGGTCTTGCGGAAAGCTGTTCTCTTGAGGACAGTTTGATTATGAAATTTCAGTTCACGTGAATGGAGATGTTCATTTCATCAGTCGGTTGTGTGCGTCGATTGATTCCAGCCTAGCGCATGACATTCAAATGTTGATTTACAGGGCACAAAACGACTTGTGTAACAGCTTTCAAAACTGTTGGTTTAACAAATGCAAAACTTGGTTTGGATTATTAACGATGGTCAGATAAAGTTGATTATTAATTGAAAAAATAATGATACATTTTCCTTTGTTGGTCACACAAAATATATCACATGACTGAATCACCAGGGAATTTTTAAAGGTCAGATCAGATAGCTTAACAAATGCACATTTTTACTTTTTCCATTGTATTTTTAAGATATTTTAAATTTAGAGGCTCTTTATTATTCATTTAAAAAAATGCAAGTTTCCTTTGTTTGTCACACTTATTTGTGTAAGCAGCAAAATGTATTTAATGAGCAATTATTTAGTTGTTATTTCACTGTTGTTGATTTATTATATAACATGGACATTGTGATGTAAAAATACACTTTTTCAGTCTCATCTGACTCGGTTTGTCAGTAACGCTGATCAAAGAAAAGCTCCAAGAAGTGGAGCTTTATTCTGGACAATGGGACACCTATTGAGGGAATGTTTTCGAGTGGAAAGACGAGCCAATTTGTTATGTCTCCATGTGCCACAGGTCACAGTGGCGTCAACCAGCTCGGCGGGGTGTTTGTGAACGGCAGACCATTACCGGACTCCACCAGACAGAAGATCGTCGAACTCGCTCACAGCGGAGCGCGACCCTGCGACATCTCCAGGATTTTGCAGGTGACCGTGAAGCCCATTTGTACATCCACAAACTTCATAGGTGCTAGTGGAATAATAACACTTAGTTACAAGTCAAAATCACGGTCACTTTCAATCAAGTAGTGCAGCTAAATAAAATGGATCACACATTATGCATTCAAAGAATGTGCTATTCAGTTGTATTGCGCAGCAAACAAACAAACACTAACGTAAAGTGTGACCCGAAACGTAATGAAATCATCCTAGCAATTTTAAGGCATATTTTCTGTGTTCATAGACCCATGATGATGCAAAAGTCCAACTGGACAATAAGAACGTAAGCGTATAACCGTTTGAAGTACATTACATTATTTCAATTTAGTTTTAAATAATGTATGTGAATTGTGTATATTGCTGTCCATTCAGGTGTCCAATGGGTGTGTGAGCAAGATTTTGGGGAGATATTATGAGACCGGCTCCATCCGACCACGAGCCATCGGAGGCAGCAAACCGAGGGTAGCGACGCCTGAAGTGGTCAGCAAAATAGCACAGTACAAGAGGGAGTGTCCCTCGATCTTTGCCTGGGAAATTCGGGACAGGCTGCTGTCTGACGGGGCGTGCACCAGCGATAACATACCGAGCGTAAGTGCAAATAACGCTTCATTTGCAAACGTCACTCTGCACTTCTTACGTCGATAAAAAACTTGTGCTTGCAATTTAGATAAATAGATACACTTTTACATTTATCCATATTGAAAGAATTTACCGGATTATAAATACAAATAACATTCACGGAGAGAGCTACAGTGAAATAATATGCCGCTTTAAGGCTGAAACACACAGCACTTGAGTGACGGTCTGCTTTATACCTTTCAGGTGTCGTCGATAAATCGAGTCCTACGCAACCTGGCTAGCGAAAAGCAACAGATGGGTGCAGATGGCATGTACGACAAGCTGAGAATGCTCAACGGGCAGACCGGCACATGGGGGACTCGCCCGGGATGGTACCCTGGTACGTCCGTGCCAGGACAACCAAATCAAGGTGAGACAGTCTAAAAGCAATAAGAGCATCACTGTCAGCAGCTGAGTTGGAATAACAATAACACATAAACAACAAAAAGGAACAGCAACAACAAAGCAAGTGCATCAAAAATAAATAATTAAATAATAAATAAAAACGGCAAAAAATAAACAACAAATAAAAAAAAGTATTAATTAAGAATAAATAAATAAATTAATGATTATTAATATACATTTTAATATTCTAAATAGTTTTGATAATAACAACAACAACAATAACAGCATCAGTATTTATCGTACAAATATTAATTATTTGTATTTTTTTTACTATCCCATATTCTACTATAATATTTATACTGAATTTTTATGGCAATATTCAATATAATAAATTGTAATATATATTAAACTATTATTACCAATTAAAAATTGAAAAATGAAATTACAATGTATATTAAGCTTATTACTAATAGTTTAATAACATATATACAGTATATCTATATATGTGACCCTGGACCACAAAACCAGTCGTAAGGGTAAATTTTTCGAAATTGAGAGATATACATCATATGAAAGCTGAATAAATAAGCTTTCCATTTATGTATGGTTTGTTAGGATAGGATAATATTTGGCCGAGACACAATAATTTGAAGATCTGGAATCTGAGGGTGCAAAAAAAATCAAAATATTGAGAAAATCGCTTTTAAAGTTGTCCAAATGAAGTTCTTAGCAATGCATATTACTAATCAAAAATTAAGTTTTGATATATTTACGGTAGGAAATTTACAAAATATTTTCATGGAACATGATCTTTACTTAATATCCTAATGATTTTTGGCATAAAAGAAAAATCTATAATTTTGACCCATACAATGTATTTTTGGCTATTGCTACAAATATACCTGTGCTACTTATGACTGGTTTTGTGATCCAGGTTCACATATAGTGTATAATGATGTTTATATTATACTTTATTATTAATTTAGCATAATAGTATTTTAAGTAACACTTTACAATAAGCTTTCATTTAACAACAGTTTACTACATTAGTTAACATGAACTAACGATGAAAAATACTTCTAAAGCACTTATTATCTTATTTAATGTTAATTTCAACATTTCCTCATACTTTATTAAAATCAAAAGTTGTATCTGTTAATATTATTTAATGGACCTGTGCTGACACGAACTAACAGCAAACAGTCGTATTTTTTTAAATAACGGTAAAACAGATGAATAATTACTGTAAGAAATGTACTGCTCATTGTTAGTTAATGCATTTACTAACATTAACTAAATGGAACCTTATTGTAAAGTGTTACTGTATTTTATTATGAATTCATAGTATTAATTTATTTCTACTGAAAAAGTGTTTGAAATATGTGAAATGTTAAAAAATACATTTGCAGTCATTAGGTCTATAAGTCAATCCATCTGGAGACACATTAGATTAATATACAAAATGTAGAATAGCGTGCCACTGGCAAACGTAGATGGGAAAAGGCCACTCGTTAATTGAGGAGTTAGTGCTAATTAATCGCTCATTTCAATACGGCTTCTGTCTGGCTCTTGGATCTGCGTGACTAGGAACAGAGTTTTCGGCGGAGGTGTCCATGCGCTACCACCTGCCCCCTCCCCCTGCCACTGCCCTCCACATCATTTACGCCCCATGGGGAGTGAGAGAAAAGCACTGCGTGTCCCGGGACAAAAGATGTTTCTGTCACATGCAAGAATTTGTGACAGGCACAGCTCTGTCTCTCTGTAATTGCTCATTAGAGGTTGCTTTTTTTTGAGGGAGAGAGAGAACATGTACAGACTTTTGGTTAGAGGAGACAATGAAAAAAAGTTTAGCTGATGAATAGTTAGTTTCTAATCAAGTTGATGTATCCGAATCCTGCGTGTGGATGTTCACAGTATCACAAACACTATCTTAGAACATTAATATTTAACAAGAAAAATGCAAACGATCACTTACTAAATGCAAATAATTCACCCCTAAAGTTAAATTACGCACCCTTATGTCATTCCAAATGAGACTTTTAAAGACCTAATCATTTTAAAGACCTATCATACAGGTTCAAAAGACTTTGAATATAGTGTGTAATACTGTATGGACAATTGTTATTGTGCTTTTATATTATAATTATATTATTGTGCTGTTATTGTAAATTTATGTTATTGAGCTTAATGACTCCAACTCTGAACAACAAACCAAAAAAAAGATAAAAAAAAAAAATCAATTTAAAAAATAACAGCATACAGGTTTTTATATAGTTAACTAAAACTGAAAACATTGAACACATTTTTGTTACTTGAAATAAAAGTTAACTGAAATAAAATATTATAAACAAACACAAACTACTAAAAATGACAAAAACACATTTTTGTTACTTTGTTACTAAATAAAATAAAAGTTAACTGAAATAAAATCAAATATTATAAACACACACACACAAACAGACACACACACACACACACACACACAGAGACACAAAACCTACTAAAAAACAAAACAAAATTACTAAAACTTTAAAATTAAAAAAAGAAAACAGACAATCTAAAAATAAAAACTGATTCAAAATATTAATAAAACTATTAATAGTGTCAATGATAGAAAAATAACACTGGTTTCAAATGACGATTGTGAGCAATTTTTTATTTTTTTTCTCCATTGTATGTTAACTTTTTAATGCTTTTTAAGTTTATATCTCGCAATTCTGACTTTTTTTGACAGGATTGTGAGATATAAACTCGCAACTGTGAGTTATAAAGTCAGAAATGTGTGATATAAACTTCCAGTTGTGTTATACAGTCAGAAATGCGAGATACAATCTCATGGTTGTATGAAAATGTCAGAATTGTGAGCTGACATTTTTTCTCAGAAATGGACTTGCAATAGCGAGTTTATATCTCAGACATTCTAAGATAGAGGTTAGAATTGTGAGATAATATCACAATTATCTTTTACATTTTTATATTCTGTGGCGGAAACAAGCTTCCATGTTAACCAGCTAGTCACTGCAGGTGAAACAGCCTGGAATGCACTTGTTCTGATTGGAGAGACTTCTCTATCCCATGCTAAAGCAAGCAAAGGTCTTTCAATGGTCATCTCCTGTTGAACGTATAAATCCTAACTGGCGTTTAACAGGCCCGGCCTGGGTTCTTTGATTAATGACAGTGGTGTGTAGAGGTTAACATACTGAACTGAAAGCTCTGTTGACTAGATCCTTGTGTTATACAATGCTGAGCACTGCACGCCTCTCTTTTTGTTGTTCCTTTCCAATTGTGCCCTCGGGAGAATTTGAGCCTGACGAAAAAGGCCTGGCAGCCCATCTCTGTCTGCACAGTTTAATGGTTCCCCTCATTCTTCTGGTGGTATTGTGTCATGGAGAAAAGCAGCTCTCTATTCAAGTGTTGGTGGTCACCTCAATAGGTCCCTGGACACCCATACGGTGAATAGCACTAAGAATGCCTATACATTATATGTGCTGCGTATGAAAACATCCAAGGGAGCTTGAGGATGATTCAATGTGTTTCTTTTGGCACTTTGTTACGGAACTATGCAGATGATGCTGACAATTCCTGCCCTGAATCTAGAGGCGTATTCACAACAAAGACAAATTATATTATAAAGTAGTGCTGTCAAACGATTAATCGCGATTAATCGCATTCAAAATAAAAGTTTTTGTTAACATAATATATGTGTGTACTGTGTTTATTAATTATGTATCTATAAATACACGCACATTAAGTATACATTTTGAAAATATTTACATGTATATACATGTATATATTTATATTATTATATTATATATAAATATATTTAATATATAAACATAACATGTCTTTGTTAAATATATACATGCATGTGTTTGTATTTATATATACAGGTGCATCTCAATAAATTAGAATGTCGTGGAAAAGTTCATTTATTTCAGTAATTCAACTCAAATTCTGAAACTCGTGTATTAAATACATTCAGTGCACACAGACTGAAGTAGTTTAAGTCTTTGGTTCTTTTAATTGTGATGATTTTGGCTCACATTTAACAAAAACCAATAAAATAAAACCAATAAAAAAAACATTTTTAGTGAATTGTTGGCCTTCTGGAAAGTATGTTAATTTACTGTACATGTAGGGGTAGGGGCTCCTTTAGCTTTAATTACTGCCTCAATTCGGCATGGCATGGAGGTGATCAGTTTGTGGCACTGCTGAGGTGGTATGGAAACCCAGGTTTCTTTGACAGTGGCCTTCAGCTCATCTACATTTTTTGGTCTCTTGTTTCTCATTTTCCTCTTGACAATACCCCATAGATTCTCTATGTTTGCTGGCCAGTCAAACACACCAACACCATGGTCATTTAACCAACTTTTGATGCTTTTGGCAGTGTGGGCAGGTGCCAAATCCTGCTGGAAAATGAAATCAGCATCTTCAAAAAGCTGGTCAGCAGAAGGAAGCATGAAGTGCTCCAAAATGTCTTGGTAAACGGGTGCAGTGACGTTGGTTTTCAAAAAACACAATGGACCAACACCAGCAGATGACATTGCACCCCAAATCATCACAGACTGTGGAAACTTAACACTGGACTTCAAGCAACTTGGGCTATGAGCTTCTCCACCCTTCCTCCAGACTCTAGGACCTTGGTTTCCAAATGAAATACAAAACTTGCTCTCATCTGAAAAAAGGACTTTGGACCACTGGGCAACAGTCCAGTTCTTCTTCTCCTTAGCCCAGGTAAGACGCCTCTGACGTTGTCTGTGGTTCAGGAGTGGCTTAACAAGAGGAATACGACAACTGTAGCCAAATTCCTTGACACGTCTGTGTGTGGTGGCTCTTGATGCCTTGACCCCAGCCTCAGTCCATTCCTTGTGAAGTTCACTCAAATTCTTGAATCGATTTTGCTTGACAATCCTCATAAGGCTGCGGTTCTCTCGGTTGGTTGTGCATCTTTTTCTTCCACACCTTTTCCTTCCACTCAACTTTCTGTTAACATGCTTGGATACAGCACTCTTTGCTCCGGCCTGACAGGGCATCATCACAATATGGCAAAGGGCGTAACATTTCCGTCTCACGCTTGAGGTATTCGGCCAATCACAACGCACTGAATAGCTGGCCAATCAGCGTACACCTCGCTTTTCAGACTGATGAGCTTTGTAAAAATCGACGCGTTTCAGAAAGGCGGGGCATAGAGGAGACGATCTAATGTACAGTATGTGGGAAAATAATGTGTTTTTTGAACCTTAAACCGCATAAACACATTTCATTACACCAAATACACAAAATAATGTTCTATTTAGCAACATCATATGACCCCTTTAATCATTTGACAGCACTAATTTGATAAAATAACAAAAAATATTTTATTATATTTCATTTATTGTGTTTTTTTTAATACTTTGTAAATTATTTGTGCAACTCAGTCATGCAATTTTTAATTTTTAAAAAAAAATTTTGGCCATTGAATTGAAGCTAAATAAAAATCTTAAACTTAAAAAACTACTTAGAAATTGCCTTGGCAACTAACTGAAATACATATACTTAAGTTGAAGTACTAAAACTAAAATTGAAATAAAAATTAAGCTATATAGAAAAATTAAACTTAATAATAATGATAATAAAAATAAAATTAAAAAAAATGACAAAAGCACAGGTAACACTTTACAATAAGGTTCCATTTGTTAACATTAGTGACTTGCATATTATTTAACATGAACTTCAAACTTATTATTTTTAGTTAATGTTAATTTCAGTATTTACTAATATATTATTAAAATCAAAAGTTGTACCTGTTAGTACTATTTAATGGCCTTGAGCTAACATGAACTAACAAAGAATAGCTTTATTTTTATTAACTAACGTTAACAAATATTAATAATTATATAACAAATGTATTGCACATTGTTAGTTAATGCATTAACTGGCATCAACTAATGGAATCTTACTGTAAAGTATTACCAAAGCACATAACAAAATTGACTAAACTTAAACTAAAATGAAAAAAAAAAAAAATGTAAAAGAAAATAATATTACTAAATAGTATATAAATAGTTCTAAAATAACACTGATGCACCATGGTGTGAATTGACTCAAGGTTATGAAAATATGGTGTGTGTGTGTGTGATCTACAATTCTACATCTTTTTCATCTTTTTTTGCAGATGGTTGCCAGCAACAGGACAACGGTGGTGAGAACACTAACTCCATTAGCTCAAACGGTGAGGATTCAGATGAGACTCAAATGCGCCTGCAACTGAAAAGAAAACTGCAAAGAAACAGAACGTCGTTCACGCAGGAGCAGATCGAAGCCCTGGAAAAAGGTGAGCGTCAAGTGTAAGCATTAACAACAAATGTCTGCCATACCCAGCTGAGGGACACAGAGTAACACGCTTTCCCATCGGTTTTTAGAGTTTGAAAGAACCCACTATCCAGATGTTTTCGCAAGAGAAAGACTTGCAGCAAAAATCGACCTTCCAGAAGCTAGAATACAGGTGAGAAGATTAGTGCAACTTTAAAACCAGGGCATCTACTGCATGTTCACTGTTGCTATGGTTTACATCTGCTGATCTTCTCTGTGTCGCAGGTATGGTTCTCAAACAGAAGAGCAAAATGGAGGAGGGAAGAGAAGCTGAGGAACCAGCGACGACAAGCCAGCAACTCCTCCAGTCACATTCCCATCAGCAGCAGTTTCAACACAAGCGTCTACCAGGCAATCCCACAACCCACCACTCCTGGTGAATGACACACCACAACCTAAATATATAAGACATGCAATAATGCCTTCACACCAAAGTCCAAATGTTTGATGCAAACAAGATTTTAGATCTCTTTTACACAAATATTGTACAACAGATGTCAGAACAATTAATTCAATCTTTTATTATGAAAACGAAAATGAACATAGCTTTGAATGATCTACTTGAGTCATTTAGTTGCATCAAAAGCTTAACTTTTTGTTAGATTCCTTTTCTCCTGAAATAAGTCTTAAAAATATAATATAATTAGTGCTGTCAAATGATTAATCGCGATTAATCGCATCTAAAATAAAGGTTTTTGTTTACATAATATATGTGTGTGTACTGTGCATATTTATTATGGATATATAAATACACACACATGCACATATATATTTAGGAAGAGAATGTTATGTTTATATATTAAATATATTTATATATAATATAAATTGTAAAAATATATGCATGTAAATACACGTAAATATTTTCAAAATATATACACACATGTGTGTATTTATATATACATAATAAATATACACAGTACACACAGATATATTATGTAAACAAAAACGTTTATTTTGGATGCGATTAATCGCGATTAATCGTTTGACAGCACTAAATATAATATAATATAATAAAATGTAATTATTTATAATAGTTTTATTTATTTATATTAATTACATTTATTTTATTATTTATCATATTATTTATTGTTACATATATTAAATGTTTTGTATGTATACAAAATATAATAATAATAATAATAAAATACTTTTGTGTCAATTATTCACATTGAACTCATTGTTAACTAAAACAAAAACTAACTAAACTAAAATAAATAAATATTAGTTTGAAAAGCACTTCAACCATGATAAACTCTTTTTCCATAATTTTAAATAATTTTGTAGTATACAAAACATCATCCTTGGGTTACACAAATATTGTTCAACAAATATCGGATGTAGAACAGTTAATTCAAAGTATTCAAACTATAATTAAAGAACAATCATTTAGCTGCGTCAAACTGCGAAGGCTTTACATTTTGGTAGATTCACTCCAACTATTATAATCGAAATCTTTCATAACTAAAGGATGACATTTTTGAGTATGCTATATTTACTTGATAAAATGTGTAAACCATGTGATATTTTTTTTGTCTTTACCAGTGTCCTTCACAACAGGGTCCATGCTAGGCCGATCAGACACGGCTCTGACCAACACGTACACGGGTTTGCCTCCGATGCCCAGCTTCACAATGGCTAACAACCTGTCTATGCAGGTGAGTAGCGTTACAAACACAAGTTTCCTCCTCTACCCTTGATAACTCGATTAATGTGCTGTGTGTGATGCTTCCTTAAATGTCCCCCATTCCATCATTTAACGCAAACTCCTCTGTGTTATAGATACTAAAAAGCTATATATTTACAATATATATATATATTCTTGTTTTTTATAGCCAAGCCAGACATCTTCCTATTCCTGCATGCTGCCCACCAGTCCGTCCGTGAATGGGCGAAGCTACGACACATACACACCCCCTCATATGCAGGCACACATGAACAGCCAAACAATGGCAACTTCTGGTACCACCTCAACAGGTAGGCAGAATACGTTCATTGTGCATTTAACGAACTCGCCCTTGATCAACTGGCACATTTATACTACCGTTCAGAAGTCTGGGGTTAGAAAGATTTTTGATTTGCAAGAAATGAGCAGCAAGGACCAACATTACATTGACCAAAAGTGACAGTACAGACATTTATAATGTTACAGAAGACTTATATTTCAAATAAATGCTGTTCTTTTGAGCTTTCTACTCAAAGAATTCTGAAAACCGATGTTTCCACAAAAGTATTAAGCAGCACAACATTGATAATAATAAGAAATGTTTCTTGAGCAGGAACTCATCATATTAGAATGATTTCTGAAGGATCATGTGACACTGAAGACTGGAGTAATGATGCTGAAAATTCAGCTTTACATCACAGGAATAAATTACGTTTTAAAATATTTAAAAATAGAAAACAGTTATTTTAATTTGTAATAATGTTTCGCAATATTACTATTTTTACTGTGTCAAATAAATGTAGCCTTAGTGAGCATAAGAGACTTCTTTTAAAAACATTTAAAAATCTTAAACTTTTGAACGGTAGTGTATTATGCATATGCTCTTTTACCAATTTATTGTTCACGTTTTATATGAATTGCCCTAAAATTCTATTTAATTTTAAATGCATGATTTTGTGCATCAAAAATTGTGTTTCTTTGTTTAAATTTAAGGGGGTCTGAATACTTTCCGTACCCACTGTATGTACCATTTTTCCCCTTCACAGTCCCTTTCAGTGAAACATAATTTTAAAATATTTAAAAAATCTAAAGACGTTTTTCCATGATAAAGATCCTTTTATGCAATGGAAAGATTCCATGGATATTGTCTGTTTTACGTTGAACCATCAATGCCAATATAGGACCTTTATCTTAAATAGGGTTGAAAAAACATTTTACTTAAAAAAAAAAAAAAAACCCTTTCAATGTTTAATTTTAAGTTCAATACTTCTTTAATCATCACATCACAAACCTGTTTGTTAAAGAGCATAAAAAATATGATTTAGGTATAGTTGTATTATAGTGTCCTACAGTCAAATAATTTTGTGAGACTAGAAATATTTAATTCCGATAATTATGATTAAAAATGCTTGACAGAGTTAAAAAAAAAAACGTAAGTGTTTGGCAGTTGTTTACAAGTACATATCAGACTTTAACCATTGTTGATTGTAAAAACAGACCAAAGCCTTTGTATTTCATCTATTACACAACAATCTTAATCTTCTCTTTTTTATCGTTAGTCTTGTGTTGCGATACATTTTGTAAAGGAAAACAGTTGTTTTACATTCTAGTACACTGGCTTCGACTATATATGGCTGTGGCTTAATCACGCAGTCCTTTATTTAAGATCGACAACCATTTGTGGTTTTAAAAACATGTTGACATCTCTTGAATTCTGCGTTTTTGTTGTATACCTGAGACATGAACACTTGTAATGGTTTTTGTGTCAGAGCAATGCTTTGGAAAACGAAAGGTCTACCCTGTCTTGCAGATATTTCAATTTAACTTTATTTAAAAGCTTTCTAAATGTATTTTGTGAAAACTATTAAAAACATTTTGTACAGTATACATCGCTTTCTCCGTGATTTTCCAAAATGCAGAACTTTTAATATGACACCTAATGAAAACGAGCATAATTTTCAAGAAAATCATTTAGAATTGAAAACATTTATTTCTTCATGATTTTCCAAAAAATACAGAACTTTTAATATGACTCCTAATGAAAACGAGCATAATTTTCAAGAAAATCATTTAGAATTGAAAACATTTATTTCTTCATGATTTTCCAAAAAAAAAAATGCAGAACTTTTAATGACTCCTAATGAAAACGAGCATCATTTTCAAGAAAATCATTTAGAATTGAAAACATTTCTTTCTTCATGATTTTCAAAAAAATGCAGAACTTTTAATAAGACTCCTACTGAAAACGAGCATCATTTTCAAGAAAATCATTTAGAATTGAAAACTTTTTTTTTTCTTTCTTCATGATTTCCCAAAAAATACAGAACTTTTAATATGACTCCTAATGAAAACGAGCATAATTTTCAAGAAAATCATTTAGAATTGAAAACATTTATTTCTTCATGATATGAATTTCCAAAAAATTCAGAACTTTTAATAAGACTCCTAATGAAAACGAGCATCATTTTCAAGAAAATCATTTAGAATTGAAAAAATGTTTTTCTTCATGATTTTCCAAAAAATGCAGAACTTTTAATATGACGCCTAATGAAAGTGAACATCATTTTCAATTGAAATATTCCTAATTAAAAACATTCCCATTTAAAGACACACCAGCACGTCAAAACCCCTCTCTTCTCTCCACATACCTCATAACCACCAAAGAGCTGGTGAACAAAGGCACCAGCCGACCCCACACAACTCAAACATCACAAAAACACACCACAATAGAACAGGCCTATGCCATTCAGCACTGCCAGCTCTTGTTTTGGTAGAGTTACGATGGTCTAAAAGGAAGAAAAAAAAGCGAGTGAGCGTGGGGGGAGGAGAGAGAGGGAAGAAACGAGAAGAATAAAGCGGTCCGAGCGAGCGGAGAGAGAGATGAAGCGATTGTGTGGCAGAATGAGTTATTTTGCTTCACTTGCTGTCTCAGTGGGAGGGCCGAGGGAAAGTGTCCTTGTGGAAAGGTTTTTGGGGGTAGTAGGTTGGTCCTGACGCTTGCTGGGTCAGGTAGTGGCTTATGGGACTTCAGGACAGCTCTAGGTTTGTTCAAACACACCTACAAGACAGCAATGGAAAGTGAAAAGCATGGAGACATCTCGAATCACAACTAAAGCCAAGTTATACTTGGACAAAGCTGTTATATTTTATTTGCATGTCTTATTATACATGCCGTTTTGGGCTCAAATTAATTGATAAACTATGTTTGTTCTTAAAATATATTCATGTGACAACACCATGACTATTTAAGCTGATTAATCATGATAACAAACATGATTCAAAATAATATAGGTGACCAGTGAATATAATCTTAATCTCAAAATAAACTAGGGTATTCATAAAAATAAATCCATCGTTTTGGACCAGAGCAATAAACACACTAAACACTGATACAGCTGTATCTGTTTACAGACAATGAAAATGAGGCTATGAAACATTAACGTGTGTATAAACACATACCTGGCTCATGAATATATGCTTTCACAAGCAGATTTATTCAGAAGCAGAAATGATTAATTTGTGCAGCAATTTTTACATTACAAGTACATTTCCCCCCAAAGTCAAGCAGGGTCATGTCAACTGAAATTTAAGTCGTAATATTATAAATGCATAAGGATCTTATTATAATTAAATTGTAAATGAATGCAGTATCTTATTGTGGAGCCTGTTTTAGAAATAGAGAAAGGAGATTAATATAATATAATATAATATAATATAGGTCATGGTCAGCATTAAAAAAACATGGTAAAACTTGAAAAACAGGTCACCTTTCAACCCAAAAGGGAGAAAAACGTATATATTTGTGTCAAGAAAAATTAAGTTAAGTGACAATTTATGCACATTTTCCTTATAAACTTTAATTACTTTCATGTATTCGGACATAATTACAAATAATTACCATTATTCTCAATGGTGATTTTATTTACCGTAACAGTATTTTTCTTACTTCACTAAAGTAAATCATAACTGTAAATGGATTGTTTTTTGTTAAACAGCAGGAATTAAGTGCAGTACAACAAATCTTACTATGATGAACGCAAACAATTTAAGTATTGTTTTTATGCAAAAAAAATTGTATGTTATTATAAACATGGCAGTAAAGTACATGGCATGGCAAAATGACAACACTAAGCAAAAGAAAGAAACGATGTGTCAAGTCCTATTTTTATATATATTTCTGCTTTATTTAATTACATCCTGAACAGAACAACATTACGAACCAGAAATAATCAACCAGGTTGAAAAAGGGGGCGGCAAAAATGTTTTCGGCCACAAACCTTTTTTTGAACGTGAATAAAAACATGACATTGTTTACATTTTTGGTTGAAACTTTATAGACACCCAATATTTATTAGCTAACTAAGCTAATAAACATCAGGAAGCCATGACGTGCACTGAAAAGACACTGGCAGTCAAACTACGTCATCGTTATTTGCGTCACATTCTCGTTTTATCCAAAGAAAGCAACAGGTACTTGCTAGGTGTTTATGACACTGAATATCGTGTTGTATGCTTCTCCATGTTGTGTAGTTACTAAACGCTGCTCCATCTTAATCTCATTCACTAATCATGAGAGTAAGTGTGTCAGTGCAGGTGTGACCGTAAATTAGTGCTGGCGTAGTGCAGCTCCAGCGCTCTCCTGCCCTTGAACATCACGGGGGGTGCAGCGTGCAGGAGGAATGGGAATACGCTAGAAATCTAGGTGCTTGTTGCCCGTGGCAGTGCTGCCACATCCTGCTGCCAGTTCTGTTTTACTCACTCGACTCACCGTCTCTGACAGGTCTGGAGGCAAATGCAGTCTCTGAAAGAAAGAGAAAGAGGAAGGCTGAAAGAATAATTTGGAGGGCAAGTGATAAAGCTACAAATGCAAAACAAACTGGTACACTGCTATAGTGATGGTATCAGATGGTAATACCATGGTATTTTGGCGTAAAAAGTACGAGTACTATATTCAAGCAGCTAAGAAAAGTATTTTCTGCTCACCAAAGCTGCATTTATTTGATCAAAAATACAGTAAAAAGAGGAAATTTGTGAAATATTAGTACAATTTAACAAACATTTTCTATTTTAAAAATGTAATTTATTTATGTGATGCAAAGCTGAATTTTCAGCATCATTACTCCAGTCTTCAGTGTCACATGATCCTTCAGAAATCATTCTAATATACTGATTTGCTGCTCAAAAAACATTTATTGTTATTATTAATGTTAAAAACAGTTGTGTTGCTTAATATTATTTAGGAAACTGCTACATTTTTTCTTTGATTAACAGGAAGTCCAAAAGAACAGCATTTATTTGCAACAGAAATATCTAGTTCAGTTATCTAATAAACACACACACACACACAAAAATTGGGTATATTTCAATATTATTCAATATATATATACACACATACATATACACATACATACCTATATACCTATATATATATATATATATAATTGTTGTTAGTTATAAAAATCTGAATATATATAGCATTTTTAACTTATAAAAATGTAAATGAAAATGAGAAATGTTGTCTTGGAAGTAATACAATTACTAAAACCACAATAAAAATACATATTTACTAATTACTAAAACTTAAACTAAAATGAAAATAAAAACAGAAACTAAAGTGATTTCAAAATATGAATAAATACTATAAAAGTATAAACAGCAAATACTAGTAAAATAACACTGGTCTATATGGGCAGCTATGGAACAGAACTACAGACGTTAGCATCATTTAGTATTATAGCTTCATATTCTTGCATTAATTTAACATTTGTACAACAGACTGTAAAAAAAGCATCTGTATATTACTGAATACAACAAACTGAACCCTTCTGCAATCAGTTTAGATGAATAAGTGCTCACGAACACTTTTAGCCAGAGATGCCTGTTTCAGCTTCTTTGCTCCACACTGAAGACCTGTAGACGTAAGACAGGCGAGAAAACATCCTAGCCTGTGTTGCAGACAGACGAAACGGAGTGTGTGAACACAAATCGCGTTAGACGCTTGGCCATGCACCTTAAATGGTCAGAGAAGTGTAACTGTTAGTGTGCCGCTAAAAACCCTTGAGGGAGGCTCGAGCTTTTTGGCGGTTCAGGAGAAAGGTTTGTGTTTAGAGTTACGGCTTCGAGGAGAGTCATTAGAATCAAGCGTTTTATTACGGTAACTTGCCCCATGGGCACTAATCTCTAACAAGGCAATGAGCTATGCCAAAAGCTTGTGCTAAAGAGGCTAATGAGCACACACACACACAGTGTCGAGAGTAGTCAAGTGTATGATTAAATACACTTCTGTACGGCAAGTCAGTCGCCACAAGCTGAACATACCTGCAACTGCAGCCTTGATTCAGGTGACCTTTTTCCACAGGTTGATGTTTATCTCCTACCAAACAATGGGCTTCTAAAGCTCCTACTGTTTGTTGAACAGCAGGTAAATCATGTTTCTAAAAGAGTAGGCCGGAGGAAGCTCAGGACAATCCGTAATTTCCCTGAGCCTCTTCCACACGCCTTTAAGAGCTTCAGATCCTTTTCCTTCAAAACCCTCCAGGCTACCATGCATCCCAACCTGGAGACACCCAGGATCAAAATGTTAAGCTTATCAGGAGGAACATTGAAGAACATGAGAAGGGATCTACAGACTCTCATGTCATTCCAAAACTTTTTTCAAATGTTTTTATCATTTTTGGACCTCAAAAGATGTGGTCACAGTATGGGTTTGTAACAACATTATGGTGAGGATGACATTATTTACATTTTTGGATGAATTATTTCTTTAAAAGATGACCATAATTTCTTTAAAAATGTACCATAGTATCGAGGAGAATGGTTATTTCTTAACAGTTTTCCAAAAAAGTGGATAAAAAAATATTCAAATCTAAAAAAAAAAAATTATAATATAATATTACATAATTCTATTATTAATGGTAAAAACATGTAAGTTCAATATTTATTACATTTGAAAAAATATACCATTTGGACTTGGCTTTAATATAATATATTATTACATAATGGTAATATTTATAATATTAATATTAAGTAATACTTATATTTATAATATAATAATAATAATATTTAAAAAGTGGTTAAATATTGATTACTTTGCTAAACATACAAGCTTCAAGCAACATTCCCTCAAAGTTACTGAAGTGTAATTAAAAAAGAAAACCTACAACTTTGAATTGTCTCTAATAACATATAATAACATAACATAACATAACATAACATAACATAACATAACATAACATAACATAACATAACATAACATATAATAATATTAAATAATATTTAGAATATATTAGTTAAACATTATAATACTTTAAAAGTGGCAAAATTATTTATTATTTGATTGCCTCCGAGAAAAAAAAATGGGTTGAAATTACTACTTGGCTAAGCATACAAGCTTCTAAAGATCTGCATGCAACATTCCCTCATCTTGAAGTCACTCAAGTGTAATTAAAAAAATGAAAACATACCACTTTGTCTTGGCTCCTCAAAGCCCATTGTTGCATACAATTTGCAATATCATCATCGTTTCTTCACATGCTACTTTCAGCCTCAAGGCAGTCCAGATCAATCTGTACTAGATAGCGTGACTAAGAAGACTTGAACATGACACATACTTGATCACACAATGTCCTACTGTGTGAGGGAATACAGGAACTGAGCTCCCATAATGCATTTTATATAGTTTAAGTCTTAGATAGAAAATAGCTAGAGTTGATTTCTGCACCATTTACATCACAAAATTGAATTGCAAAAATAATAAAGACACTTTTCCAAAGTATTGCAGCTGTCTGCCACAGGTTGAATAAACAGAAAAGCTTGCCTCAAACTCATTGGTTGAGTCAATGCCGCAGTTTCGTGATGTTCAAAACAGACAAAACCAGAACAGCTCCTTTATACTTGCATATAAAGCTGGGATACAAGAAAATGACACTTATAACATAATAGAAAAGACAGCAAACTGAGTCCACAGAAACCTCTAGGATCATTAAAGGGATGAGTGGATTATTAAGAGGCAATCGTTGTCATGAAGTGCTTTATGCAAACAGCAACAACAATTTCTGCCATCAAGTCACTTGAACAAAATCAGTTTAAAACACTTGAAGTGATTTACAAGAGGCTCTCGAGAGGGACATTAAGAGTGGCTTTCCTTAAGAGGGTTACAAATAACACTCCACGTTGAACAAAACCTCACACTGATAATAGCTTCAAAGCCCTCCAGCTACTTCTTGTTGTTCGCACCGGCACTTGTGAAGAATCACCAAATCTCACAGGAGATTGTGTTTCAAGACACATAATGTGCTTTGGGATCAGAGGAGTTTGGATTGAAGTAGCAGACTTTATATAGTGTGAATGCAGTTTAATTAGGCAAGATGAAACGTAAAAGTAGCCCAACTTATCTGAATTCACTCTGACTTGCCCTAGTTCAAAAAGCATAAACCAAAACTTAATATATTAACTGAATAATATATTCACATGGCAGCCTCTTATCAAACATTGAGATTCTTTTAGAGTTCAGACCACAGAACATTATATAATGCAATAATACATCATTCTTGTAAACGAAACGCAACGCAACGCAACGAAACGAAACGAAACAAAACAAAACAAAACAAAACAAAACAAAACAAAACAAAACAAAACAAAACAAAAAACAAAAAACAAAAAACAAAACAAAACCCTAAACAGATTTTCGCCAATGTGGTGAAGAATGAAGTAGTTCCAGATCGGTTAACATAACAGAACATCATTAAAATGATTTGCTTCTGGTAATTTTAAACGGAGACGGTTGGGACTAATAACCGACTCTTGATTCCCAACACTAACCTTCAGTTTGTGGGTTTTCTTTAGCGGCATGTCTTCATTTCAGCTTTGCATTTAATAACCAAAATGTTAAATGAAGCATAGAAGTGCAAACTTGTTCAAAATCCAATGTAATAACATTGTCCATGTCTAGAAACATTTTTGTCTGACAGACAAGCACAAATTTTCCAGAGCAATACTCCTTAAACCGCAGATGCTGATGAACTTCTATGTTTAAGGGCAACATGAGAAGATACTGAAGACCAGCTTAGTGTAACTGGAACCACTATTACCTGTTATTTTTCTCTTTCACACTGATCACAATGAGCAGCGTAATATGTGACACCATCTCAAAGCTGAATAAATAAGCTTTCCATTGATGTATGGTTTGTTAGGATAGGACAATATGTGGCCGAGATACAACTATTTGAAAATCTGGAATCTGAGGGTGCAAAAAAATCCAAATATTGAGAAAATCGCCTTTAAAGTTGTCCAAATGAAGTTCTTAGCAATGTATATTACTAATCAAAAATTAAGTTTTTATATATTTACGGTAGGAAATTTACAAAATATCTTCATGGAACATGATCTTTACTTAATATCCTAATGATTTTTGAACAATCAATAATTTTGACCCATACAATGTATTTTTGGCTATTGCTACAAATATACCCCAGCGACTTAAGACTGCTTTTGTGCTCCAGGGTCACATATAATTCTTTGTTGACCACCACCCCACTATCTGGACTTTCCGTCATCTCCTGAAAGTCTAGCATTATGTACTTTTACCTATAAGCAATTAATTAAAAGCATTATAACCCAAGGAACAGCCATTATTTGATGCTTGAAAGGCCACACTGTTCTCAATACGAAAAGTCAATTTCAAGGAAATTAAGTACTACAAATGTTTAATCTCATGACTGACTTCTATGTTCATGGAGATTACCTGTATAAACGGTATATATTTATTTAAAAAAAGGATAAATATAACATAGATATATAGAT